TTCCCCCTGTCTGTCCTCTTACTCAGCCAGTCAGTCACATCACCGAAATTGCAAGAGTATAGTGTCTGATTGTATAAAGAATCGTTACCTAATTAGAGCGATGTGATGTTTGTTTTCGTCGTTCTCGTTTGAGTGATGATACTGCTAGAAAATACCTCCATATATGGACTGGAGCAGGGTGGATAAGCCACTGATTCAATCATAGACTGCAATAAATGATTTTTTGAGAAAAAAATCCTCCACAAAATAAAGTGTCGAAATGCCGCTCTCCTGCTGAGTCGAGAGCATCGCGCAGCAAGACACTACCTCGGACATGTCGGTTGTATGTGTTATGAGACGCGTCATTTGATCGAAGCCGTCATCCACAGCCGTGGCATACCCGTACCACACGGCAGTAAGCAGCAAATCACTACGCTAGTGATATTATTTTGTGGAGGATTTTTTTCTCAAAAAATCATTTATTGCAGTCTATGATTGTATCAGTGGCTTATCCACCCTGCTCCAGTCTAATGTTAGACTGTGTCGTACACGTTACACTTACACCCTCACCCTGACCGCGTGGTGCCTTGGGTGCGACTCTCACGCGTGCATGTGGTCCGGCAGTACAGTCTACTTACTCGGAAGCGCACGGGGTACCTGGCAAGCGTTTACAACAACTTTTCAATGTACGATTTCTGAGAATAATTTTTCTCGTGTTTTATACCCGGGCTCTTTGTCGTGTGTTGCAGGTCCGGAGTCCGAGACATGCCCAACAACGCCAAGCTGCACTACAACATGGGCAACACGCTCCGGGACACGGGCAGGAAGCCACCCGCCATCTCGCACTACAAGGAGGCCCTCAGGTGAGCTGCTCCCCCCTCCCCAGCAGGCCAGTGCCTCCACGTCCCTCCCGCCACGCCGCGCCACGCCCCGGCGCTCCGACCCCCCCGCATGTGATATTAAATGCAATCTTGACTCTCCCGACCAAGAAGCTCTCCGCCTCTCGGGGGAGGGCGGACGCGGGGCGGGCGCGGGGCTGGCGGGAGCGTGTGCTTGGCCTGGTTGGGGGTGGCGAGGCTCGGCTTGGCTTACACTTAACCACGTCGCCTGTGTGTCTCCGGGGAGCATAAGTCTGCCTGGAAAAATCCCTCTGACCCAGTAACGCGTTGGAAAGGGCGTCGTGTCGTGAGACCTAGTCCCTTTCACGTTCACCACGGGTTCAAATTGCACCACCTGACCGCCTATCATTTTTTAAAAAATATTTTTTTGTTGGGGTGGCAGCCGTTTGGTCTCGTTTTTTCCCCTCTCTGTTTGGGGGGCGATAACAGATGACAGCAAACGGTTGACAAGGCCGTCGCCCTTCGGCCAGACCGCTCGCTTTTTTCTTCCTCTCCTCCCCCCCCCCCCCTCTCCCCCTTTTTTTTTTGGTAGTGTATCGCGTGACCGAGCGTTGTCATTGGCGGCCGTAACGCCACGGCCGCGGCATGTGACCAATTAAAGGTCTGACGTGGTGGGTGAAAGGGAAGGGGGGGAAGGGAGAGAGCAAGCAGGTTACAAGCGCGAGGACAACACAAAAGCGCAAGCAGCCTGACAAATACCGCGGCGGGTAGCCCGGGCGCGCTGTCACCCGCCGGGGCGTCGCCTTTCGCGTTCAT